TGGCATGTGTACATGTGCACAGTGTGCATGTGCCTGTGATGGTAGGAGTGAGAGTGTGTGTGTGTGTGTGTGTGCGTATCATATTATTGCAATCAGTATAAAACCTTTTCAAATAATGAAAATTGTATAATCTTACACTTTCATGCAATACCACACCACCTTTATTAACTAACAGATGACTGGAGTACATCCTGAAGTATGTACTAATTTAAAAAATCGTTTTGAATGGAAAATCGATTCTGAATCTAATCGTGACCCCAAGAATCGGAATCCAATCGTGAGACACCCAAAGATTCCCAGCCCTACTGTAGAGTGTTGCCAATTGTCATGGATGAGATGTGTGCAAAAAAACATTTTACAACGGGCTCAGACATTTCCAATTATTTGTAAATATCTCGAAATTTTCCAGAACAGATGGATGCCCCCATGGCACACAAAATAATGTTTTTCTCAAAAGCTTTTACAAGGCTATTAACAGTGTGAACCTGTGAACAGAGTGCAGGTTCTGTGGGGTTTTCTGTGGCCAAATAAAGTAAAGGTGAAATAATTACGAGCCCGTCTGTGCTCCTGGGGGTCTTTTTAAATGGTAGCACGCCTCATTTTCCGGGGGCTTTTTGAACCCCGATCCTCTGGAGCACACATTGATGATTTTCAGAACAGCTGAGGCAGCCATAGCATAAAGCAAATTCCATAAATCCATTTCCGTAAGCTGCCATAGGCAGTGTAAAAAAGAGACAAAAAACAAAATGTGGATGCTTGTGGGAGGTTATATTCACTTTGAGTATTTTTGAGACATTAAATTAGCATAAAACTAAATCAAAAACATTTTAAAAGGTTTCATTCTCCTCTCTTAAAACCCTAAATTCCGTTCCCAGGGACATCTAAGCCTCGTCTTCTTTTATTTCAAGTAGCTGGCCCATAACTCTTTCATTTAATCAAACACTGACACATTGATGCTTTATCTTTTTCAAACTAAACTAAGTGAATATGCTCAAATATGTAGGTCATTAAATAAGTCTACCAAAGCTGTTTGAATTTATTCCAAACTTTGAAGCCTCAGACAATCATGTTATTCCAATGAGGTGAGCTCTGGCTGCAACCTATGATGAAGAATACATGAAGCTAAAGAGGAGCTACATATGAAAAACAGAAGAGGAAGAACTACCTTCTGCTACCTACTGTTTCACACTGAGGTGACTTGGTCTTTACTATGTCAGAAAACGAGACAATTATTGAAGAGTAAATATTTATAGAAAATATCTGCAGATAAAAAGTTGCAATGAGTGAGTTTTAACTTTCTGAGTAATAAAACTACTCAAACTCAAACCAATCAACAGATTATCAAAATATTTGTTGATCAGTTATTTGATTGTCACCTAGGGATGCGTCAATTCAACATCGGTATTGGACGACATTGGCCCTGTTGACAGACATCCACAAATAATGTGGCACGAATCGATGTCAGTAGTTGATGTTTTTTTGTTGTGCCAAATCAATTTAATGCTGACATCTAGCGCACCTAACTACTGATTCAGAGAAGAGGATTTTTATCGGGCAGATGGAGTCACCTGTTGAACCAAACCAGACTTTTTTCATTGTCAAACATGGGAGAAAACTGTGGCATTGTGGGAGTCTTACAACAACTGAAGTAATGAAACAAACATCGGAATCAGCATTTGGCTAAATTGTGATTTCAAATATCGGTATCAGCCCTGATTTTCCCATTTGGTGCATCTCCATTGCCAACTAACTTCTTTAATTGTTGCAGTGAAACTGGTTTACTGAAAGAGACTGGCATCATGTTTTTTTATAGCCCATAAACTCATCCTTGATACGGGTTCAGATGCTGCTGTAACAGCTGGAGTCTCCTCTAAACCCTGCTGTAAACTGCCCTCACTGGGGAAATTTTAACATGTCCAATCCTGCTACCTTTATATTAAAATAAAGCACTATGTCTCCAGCTATAAAGCAAAGCACCCCAAGAGCTCAGTACTGTCTGATGCACCTTCCGAGTTGCTTGACTAAAATAATTACGTTATTTTAAGCAGGCAGAAAATCCAAAACTCAAGACGAGGGGAAAATTAAAAGACACAACAGGGAACAAGGGAAGCAATACTCCACAGCCCCACTGTGAAACGGGTTGAGAAATTGCTTTTAACACGTTGCCCAGCACTCAGTACAACTAATGACCTCCTACACCAGCATGGAGGAGACCTTTCCTATACAATTATCCTTCTCGCCTGCTGCTTGGCATTTTGTGCATGTTATCCGAGTCAATTGTATGCTGTCATCTCAAAAAAATGAGTTTACGTCCAAGGATTTATATATCTGCGCCTGATTTCCAGTGCAAGATTGCTTGTAATTCTCATAAAATATATATTTCTTACACTGCAGGGGACACATTTGCAGTGACGTCGAATAATGGGCCTTTATATCACCCACTAAATGTTTGCAGGGTTGGGTATCGGAGAAAGGCGCTGCATCAGGAGCAACACGTGTCTAAATACTGGACTCCACATCAGCTTGTTCTCTCTCTGATAAACATTTAGCACATTTTTAGGACTCATCTGGGCTGGTTTGCAGGAACTACTGCCTCTACACTACCAAACTTGAGCACATGCTGTATACAAACATAAAGACAGCGAAACAAGGTTGTTAGATAGTTGTTGTTTTTTTGTATCTGCAAACCCGTTGCACCTTACATTCAATACGTAGTGAAAGAAATGTTAAAACTTCATTTTATTTTGGTGCTAAATGTTTACAGAAACAAATAACCACAGTTAAATGAACAAACATCTAATGATTTCCAATATTAGCTCATCATTTTGTCTGAGCATCCAGATAATGTAAAGTTGTAGGGTTCATTATCAAATAGCCTCCAGCTCTTATTTGCAGACTTACAGTAAGTAGATCAACAGCTTACGGAAATGTTAATAAGATAGAAGTATTTTAAAGTTAACTGGAGTCAGTTGGGAACAACAATCTGGTAGCAGGGTATGAAACTTGTCCAGCACAGCAGATTTTAAATAGCACAAGACACTTAGAGAAGCCAAATATGAAGCTGAAATACGAAGGGGGGGAGAGAAGTGCTTGAAAACGATGGCTGGTAAGCGGCCAAAGAGGCTTGACAAACCAAATGACAAATGTAAAAGCTGCAGCCAAATTTTGCCAGCATTTGGCTCATGGTGGGCAGTAATTTCCAAGCCTGTTTAAGCAGTTACTAAAGCTTTGCAAACAGCCTGAGTGTTCTAGCTCATCAAGTTCAACCACCACATCTGCCCCTGGGACAGAACAACAACAATAAGGCCAAAGTGATAAACTGTCTTTTGTACAAGAAGTTAAACAATTACACCCAATGCAAACACACGGGGTGAGAGTATTAGAGGAGCAAACACTAGCTGCACAGAAGGATGACAAGGGGGAAAAAATAAGACACAATGCTGACGTGTATGTAAGCAGTCAGGAGAGTTACTCTACAAGCTACGCAACATACTTTATGTGTCACCTAAACCCTTTTCACACATATGGAAATCTCCTGAAAAACTCTGGAGATTTGGCTACCCGGAGGTTCTTTAGGCTATGTGTGAACACAAACAGCCGCATTTTTCACACGGACTTTACCCGGAGTTTCTCCGGCCAGACCCCTAGTGTTTTATCCGCAGAAAATCCGAGTGAGCTGATGTCTGAACGCGGCCGAATATACTCCTGAGATTTCAATTTCAGCCAATAGAAAGAGAATGACGTTTATACACAGTGACCCGTGTCTGCCCACGACCACTACGATCTCCGTGCACGTAATTAAACGGCTGCATTCTGTTTTCTGTTCGTCAGTATGTTGTTCTCCTCTCTTTTGTGGATGTTGTCGTTCCATTGGACTACACATAGCATTGATATAAAGGCAAATATTCTCATTATAACGTCGTGTAGCGGACTCTGTTGCTACGGCCGCTACTTCCGCTTTGTTTATTTACGTCACGTCGGGAAATCCCCCCGCGCCCCCTCCCCTCTGACAGGGAAAGTCCCCCGCTGTGAGGAGCACATGTGAACGACTAGTTCAGGAGACTCTCCGGAGTGGCCCTCCTGTAAATATCTAGATATTATCCGGAGTGCATATGTGAAAACGGCTCTACAGACTTCTGAGTAATTGATCATTGTCTGTAGATTTAATTAATTTCGAAGAGGAAATATTAGTGACATAACAAGGGAATAGAAAAAGACACAGGCCTAAAGGTAGAAATCTTATTTTTATAAATCTTGAGCAAAAGTTTCTACTCATTAGAAACAAAATATCTCCTTTAGAGGGGGACAGGGCAGTTAGATTCAAGGGGCTTCACAATTTAATTTCAAAATGGAACATTTATTAAATGCAGATCTATGATTTTGCAAAGTTCCTCAAGACTACACAGCATATCTAACTTGTAGCCTGAAGCTGCACTTTTGGAGACAAATTATTGCTGCCGGAGTCAGAGATGACAGGGAAACAGAATTAGGTTAAAGAGAAGTGGGAAATCTCCCTGCTTAGCATACCAGTGAAAATGAATATAACCAATCCACTACAATTCTCGATTACAAATAGCTGTACAAGTTCTGATTGACCCCATCATTGGGGCGGGCTTGTTTGTTTGATTACAATGAATAGAGCTGACCATAAACAGGCAGGAGGCCATGTCTCCAAAACTACTTGAAAATGTCTTGAACAGACTCATAGTACAAATAGTCTTTTTAAATCTCTAGAAAATTCTCTTAAAACCAAATTTATAGCAAACAGAAATATTGTCATATTTAAAGTACCGGTAATGTTTATAAGTTGCAGTTTACCCCGAGAAATAAATTAAACAGGACTCCTTCCAAATACAGAATTTGGTTCCCACTGAAAATTCACGTCCTATCTTCAACCTTAAATCAAAAGTCAATTTGAATGTTAAACTCAAAGAACTGTGATGCTACAGTTTGTGCCACACACAAGAAAATGTTTAAGCGAAAACGCTGATGCTTCTTACCTGTGTCTGTGCTCATCATGTCCTCCCTGTCCATGTATGACCACCTGTCCAGAGGCGTGCTTCCCCTCTTTGGGCGGGTCAATATGAGGGATGAGCACATCCTCCAAGCCCAAGTCAAAGCGCTTGTGCTTGGAATTGTCCGGGAGGAAGAAGAAGGCCCCGAAACATAAGGTGATGAAGGCACTGAGAATGAGAAGGAGGATGAACTTCTCTGAGAGCCTCAATGTGGCCCTGTGGTGCGGGAAGGAGGAGGCACCCGGCGACAAAGTGGGTATCCTGCGTCCTGAAAGCGGCAAGAGAGCCGGGGTCGTCATGTTTCGACTGTTGGAGTGAACTTGCTGCTTGAGGGGGAAGGGGTTTAGGGTGGGCAAGGGTGGGTTTTACAAGTGCCACAGGTGTTGTTGTAGCAGCATGCACAAGCTGGTTGACTTTATTATCTCATCTCGGCATTCGTAAATCCAGAAACAGAAAAGGGCCAACGTGCCTCAAAAGAGGAGAGACTGATCAGCAGGAAAATGGTCATGACCATTCTGAAAGAAAGACAGGAAAAAAGAGTTAGGGAGTGACCACTAGATTGGCAACCAAACACTTGCTTTCATTCTATGAAACGTCTATATGTTCCACTAATTATTCTCTCTTCTATCGACATACAAGAGCTGTTACCCTTAAGATTTATTTTAGTTGTTAACTCTTGCAGTGTATCCTTTGTAACCACAAGTAACATATCTACAAGCACTCTCTAATGGACATCTTGTCAGCCTACCAGCACTGAGTCACTATCAAAACAAATACGGGAAACTTGTCTGTCATATATGAAAAGATAGCCGAAATATTAGAGCGATAAACAATCACAATCATCCCCGCACCATGGGGGGGGATTTAAAAACATGCCATCTGTAAAGTAAATACTTCACCATCTCTGGCTCGCTCACACACACACACACAACACTTAATCCTTCTGCCATGAGAGAAATGACAAACATATTTTCCAGGGGCTTAAGGTATCAGGAGTCTGTGCAATATCTGTGAAACCATCACCAAAACAACTGGACTCTGCGCACAGTGGCATCTCTTAACAGTGCAGAATAAATCCACCCCTCTATGTTGCTGTTCTATGGCGATGCACTGCCACTTAAGATGGATATTAAACAGATATATTACAGTAAAGTGACAAAAAAAAATGACACAGATGAAGAACAAGATCAGCCTACACACAAATCAAATCGCCATTCTTATCCATCGCAGTCGACTTGAATGATAATTCACAGTTTGTGACGACCCTTTTGCAAAGAGAGGCAGCATAAGGAAGCTGAACAGAACACACTGCATGCACGTATAATAAACGTACTTGCTTAGATTTTTAACAGTAAAACAAGTGGCTTTATTAAAGAACAACCTAAGCTTATTCCCAAATGCAGAGGACGTAGAGAAAAAATCCCCCCACCCCCAAGTGCTGTATGGATGGACGGATGGAAATGAAGCGAGGAAGCCCCTTTAAACACAAGCGGTCGTAATAAAAAGCCTTAAAAGCCAACTGTCAAGCACAACAACGTTTTATCAGGCCTGTGCATTTCATCCGGTAAATTTCCATCAGGTGTGTGTGAAGAAGAGGAAGAAGAAGCTACCATGTCTCGGCGTCTCCTCACAGAATACCAAGTTCATTCCCTGACAGTGCCAGCCTGTGTGAGCTGATTAGCCGACATAAAATGCTAGCTAAACGAGCGGCTAACGTTGGGGGGTGGGGGGGGGAACACAGCAAATAATAAACTGACAGACACGTCAGGAAGATGGATAAGAAATTAACAGACTCCGATATACGCCTTTGGGCTTTCTGACATTTTAGCTATCCCGTGGGTGGTACAGACTGAGCTGTTTTGAAAGCGATAGCCTGCTAGTTATCCGGCTAGGTGGCTAATGGTAGCGGCTAGCTGCTTATGAAGCGACAGAGGCGGTCTCTTGTGCTGCATCACCACCTTTCTCATTTGCTCGGTGAAAATCGACGCCAGTCAGGATTCCCGGTCCGCCTTATGGAAATGGAAGAAGAAGAAGAAGAAGAAGAAGTCCCTGTATCAGGTGTCTTCATGTCCACAAGTAGAGAAACCGTCGTTAAGACCGTCCCGACTGAACCCGTTAAAGCGTTAGTTCAGAGCCACAGAGCGTCACGGCTCCGCGCACGGACGTCGGGGAGGATGTTGATGAGTGGCCGCTCTGAGGGACTGCAGCGACGGACTGGCTGGCGGAGAGCTGCTGCTGCTGCTGCTGCTGCTGCTCTGCGATCCAGCATCAACTACTCAGCCTGTCCTAGTAAGGGACCGTCTGACAATGGCTTGAATTACTGTGTGAACAATATGATCTATAAACAATATAATAATAATAATTATTATTATTATTATTATAATAATGATAATAATAATAATAATAATAATCATAATCATAATCATAATAATTATTATGATTATTATTATAATGATAATAATATTAATACTAATTATTATTATTATTATTATAATGATAATAATATTAATAATAATAATAATCATAATAATAATAATCATAATAATCATAATAATACATTTTATTTATAAGCGCCTTTCAAGACACACAAGGACACTGTACAACAATCAACATTTAAAAACAGCGATATAGAATAGAATAGTTTTTTTGAATAAAGGTTTTAGAGACAGGCCATCTCTGAAAACACATTTCACACAGAAGCTAAATTACGGTGGCTGGGAAGTGCAAAGCAAAATTACAAAGTGTTAAACACTTTTACAAAATGTGAGACAAATTTACATTTTGAAAAACATTTTTTTACATTTTATGAAACAAAATTACAAAACCAAAAATACTTACCAATGACAAAACAAATTTACAAGATGTGAAACACTTTTACAATCGCTGAGACAAATTTACAAGAGGCAGAACACTTTTACCAGTCCCCCTAACAAATTTACAAACGACAGAATCTTGACGGAAAGGGACTGTACCGCGACAAAACAAAACAAACAAAATGACCCCTCACTCTGGGTCACTTCCGACATTTGGTACGTTCCCATTTTGCCAAGATTCTGTCGTTTGTAAATTTGTTTTATAAGATGTAAATGTGTTGTTTTTTTTTTGGTACAAGTGTTTTGGTTTTGTAATTTTGTTTTCTAAAAATGTAACAAGGTTTTTCAAAATGTAAATTTGTCTCACATTTGTAATTTTGCTTTGCACTTCCCAGCCACCGTACTAAATGTTCCCCAAACCTGCCTGCAAATTACCACACAACTAAGCATGTTCCCAGTCTCATGCAAACATATAGGCTACGACTGCACGAATACGTTCATAGAATAGAATTACTTTATTGATCCCGAACTGGGAAATTGTGGCGTTACAGCAGCAGGTTATCCAACACACAATATGAGTAAAAAAACACAATGTTAGCAAATCTAAACACAATATAATATTCAATACAAAGTAAATAAGTACTAAAAATATCAAAAATAACAATGTGACTATATACAACCAGGATTTAACTAAGCATTACTAGTCTAGAAGATTGAATGTAAATGTGCAAAAACAGAGTCGTAAATGGTTGTAAATTAGATATGAAAGATTAAATGTAAATGTGCAAAAACAGAGTTGCAAATGGACAGTATTGACATAAGTTAAAGTGCATGAGTGTAGACATATTATAAGCAGAAACTATACAATATAACGGCGAGTAGACAGCCAAATGAAGTGAACATGAGTGCAGGGATAATTTGTAAATTAACTTATAATAGTTATAAGTATAGTATATAGTTATATTATAATATAATCTTTGCAAAACAGATTACAGTATGGAGAGACAGATATTATCATGATGACAGTTCTCTGCTCGCATGAGGTGAGCTGTTGTACAGAGTTATGGCCTTTGGTAAGAAAGATTTCTTGTATCTGTCATTGTGACAGCGGAGTTGTTATCAGTTCATATGAATACATACATAACAATCATAATAATACATGAAGAATCACAATTCGTACATCCATGTGGTCCTGTTTATATCCATGTTATCAAAAAAAAATAGTGTGGAGTACTTAAATACTCCTGCTTCTGAGCTCTCACAAGTTCCTCTGGGTCGTTGGTGGGGACAGCCTGCTGCTATGGCTGCAACTATTGCGACAGTTCCTAGTTTATACATTTTACAGAAAACTCTAAAGCATTTTTTAGTTGTTGCTGCCATGGTGTTAGTTTTCTATTTTTGGGCTAATTCATAAAAAATAAAAATAAAAACCTGCTGGTTGACATTCTTTCAGGCCACCACAATGTGTTGTTCAAACTCCATCTTAAGCTTTTAGGATATTATGTATGACAGCAGGACGGGTCAGAGTTCATTCAGCTCCAGAAGTGTATCAAAGAGAGAGCATGTAAATACAGCCAACAATGTAACTGTGCTAAATAATTTGGAAATTATGTGTCAGTGGAAACCTCCGGTCCCTATCTTGAAATCAGACGAGGGAAGGCCTGGGAAAAAAAAGAGCCCCCACATGTCACTTACCTGAATTGTAGATAGAAAACAAAAAAAAATAATAATCTGAAAGATGAGTCAAAATACTTAAGTGATATTTTAGATGTGTTGAGATCAGCATTTTAACAAGCTAATTGAACAAAGTGGATGCATAGTCCAGAAACCATTTCATCTTGGGAGACCAAGTGGAATTTAAAAAAGTTGGTGATTTTTGTTAGATCTTGTAAATGAGGTTAGTTTGGCCCCAGCTCCACAAACACTTGCAACATTTCTTTGTATAGATTTCCTGTAAACATAAAAGTACTCTGGTGTAAAAGAGCAAAACAGAACAACCTAAACTACAGAGCTCTTTGTTGCCATTATTAGGGTAATAAGAATATCTGAGCGTGGGCCTTTCACACACTTAATAAGATGTAATGGAACAAAAGAGTACAAGACGTTTTCTTGTTCTGACCTCAAATCATTTTAGCTCCCATGTGACTGACCTTCATAAGAAATAAAACGCCATTTAGAGGCGCTACTGACAAGAGTATTACAAGTGTGGCAACTAAGGACATGAATGTAAGTCAGTGTATAATCTCCAAACGTCTGAGAGGCAAAATGAACAAGACTTAATTGAACAGTTCTATTGATAGTTGTTTGTCTTCTGCTGCTCTTGAAGGTCTTTGTCAGCCAGGTGTTACAAAATACCACTGATTATGTCATAGTGATGTCATCAAAGTTATCTCATCTTAGGAACGCAGTTTTCAACTTCACAAAGAGAGCCTTTGTTAGAACGATATGTGTAGAGTTTACTACCAGACAGGGAGGCTCTATACAAAAATATCAAGATGAATTATGGGAAATGAAGAAACCTACTCTCTGTAAGCTGAACCCACACTAAAGCTAGTAGTAAAGTCATACTGCAGTTGACCTATTGGTGAAATGTTGAGGCAGGACGAAGTGTTGCTTCCATCTTGGACTTGAAAACACAAAAATGCTTTTCAACCGGAAACGTGGCCATGCACTAGCAAAAATGTGAGAAAGAAGAACTGAAACTATTCATGTTTGAAATGTTTAAAAAAAAAAGCTCGGCAGGTCTTTCCATCCAATTTTCAAATTCAATTCTTCCGATCCTTTCTTCTGCTTTCTATATTCATAAATATTTTTTCAAATCTTATTGTGATCGTTTGTATAAACTGGGTAACATTATCTGTGTTTATATATTCACCATGTCAATTTTTATGTGAAGCAGCTCAAATAGTTATTATTTTTACTTATCATAAAACACTTAGAGCTGAATCTGTTCTATGAAAGGAACTGTTCAATAAAGCAATCACTATTTTCAAAACAAACTCGCAATCAATAGAACTGTAAGGCCTCGAGGACAAACACCTTCTAGTGAAAGACTATAAATGTGAACTTGAATGTTCGAGAGGCTCAGTGGGGTGTTTTAAACCAACTCACACAAGGTCAGAACAAACGAGGATACACATTCAAGTCTAAGCTGTGTCTTGGGAGCAGACAGTTTTTTCAAGTAGAGCAACAATATGTAAGCTTCAAAGCAATTTCCTTTCTTAAGCCTTTTTTCACACATGCCCTCCTGAACAGGCTGCTCCTTAAATCGTCCTGACTTGCAGGTTCACATATGCACCTCACCACGGGAAACTTTGACATTCTTAATGGCAAGCAGAAAACAGTATGAACTAGCTTCATTACTTGCATGGCGATTGTGCCGGTTGCCCACCAGTCGCGGCATATAAACGTCTTCACCCACTCCAAATAGCTCGTAGTGAATTTTCCTGAATATTACCCGCTGCATTCACACAGCAGGACATTTTACTCGGGGCCTGACAGGATAAGTGAAGTTGGGGTGGAAAAAAAATCATCAGTTTGCACTCAACCATGCATCCCAATCAGAGATTTTTGTGTTGATAACACCATTAGTCAGAGAAGACAATTCTGCCTTTACGTTACAGATTTGCAGTGAGTGACGACTTAACTACCTGAGGTCTTAGTCATGTTTGCTAGATGCATCCGCACTGCTCTCTATTCACTATATCCTATAGCTTTACATTATGAATGGTTTCTTCACAAAATGGAATAGTGTTATCAGATGCACTCTCCTTTATCAAAAGCAATATGCACTGTGTTGCCAGGAAGGATGCAGTTTATCACATTACTCCTTCGGTGTATGCACTGAACTTTCTTTCCTGCTTTGGCCCTGACACACAAGCACTTTGTCTTCTTCTTCAGCTGAGATGCACGGCTGAATAAGAGGTGTCACTTTGATTTCAGGAGCGATTCTTAGACTCTCAGATCACTTTTCCCTTTTGCCCTGGACCAAAAACCACAATCCCAGCCAAAAGCCTGCTTTGCGTTCTCTGCAAGTGAAGGGTGTAATTTGTTAGAAGCCTCGGTGATGACACTTATCCTGCTGCTGGAAGGCTTGCTTTCCTGTGGTGGGACTTGGGTGAGGGCCACAAACCCAGCTGACCTGCAAACTCTCAAAGACGTGCCTTCGACTGAGGTGACTGCGATTTGATCCTCTGTGTGAAGACTTCTAGCTCCAGCAGAATAAAAGTAGAGTACAAGTTGACAACAAAAACATACAACCCAACATTTCACCACAAGTACATGCTTTACCGATATGGATGATTTAGCAGCATGACCATGAGGAGGTCAGTAAAGTGTGCAAAAAGGCAAGAAGACCGCTTTAGCAATCTTTAAACGGTTTTCAAAGGGATCATTCATTATGTTGAAAGTCAATTTTGTTAAAACTGTCCAC